GCCGGGATTCGATGCCGCGACCTGCGGGTCAGCAGCCGAGTACCTTAGCCACTGGACCACTACGGTGGGGCTTCGCACAAGACTGACCATGTTGAAAGGTGTGCCTGTTTAAGCGTAGATGCATGGTTTCTTAGGGCGCTTTCAGCACGTGTATTCTGAGAGATGACGCGTTTCGACTGATAACACATGCCTGACTAGGCACTTGTTATTTTGCCTGGTCAAGTATGATACGGTTGGCATTGCAAAACTTCTTTAGCCCCAACCACTCCAGTTCCAAACTAACAGTTCCGGTGCCGACATGCGAACCGCACACTTACGGCTGCTCTTTTTGCAGGCTGTGGTAGCGGTGTTTGGCGCCGGTTTTGAGTCATGGCCACATGGACACAACAGCAATAGCAAAGAAATGTGTTCAGCTGCCAGCATCGATGGGGCCTTCAACGAGTTCCTGTGGTGGACGACGCATCAACAGTTGCTCGGCGCGGCTGCGCAGTGTAGAGAGGCTCTTTGCAGCACCGCTGGGATAAGCATGAAAACCTGTCCCGCTGCTGTCATCGACACGTGCCTGCGGCTGCATCTCGATGCGTCACAGGTGCCACATGTGACTGACGGAGGCGTCGACCGCCACCAGGGGTGCTCGTCATACGACGAAAAGCTACTTAGGCTGCTGCTGCAACTGGGCCCTTCGTGTTCCGGTGCCGACATGCGAACCGCACACTTACGGCTGCTCTTTTTGCAGGTTGGTGAATTTTATCGTTCTAAGATTGGTGCTACTGTTCGAAAGTCGGTACCGGAGCCCCCCGGGACCTTTGTGCGAATGTTGGTTTGGGCTGTGCTTAGCATTGATGAGTTTATTGCTCTGGCTGCGGTGAAGGCAAGGTTGCTTTTGTCAGGTGATCGGGAGGAAAACCCAGGGCCAATAAGCAAGGAACTGGAGCAAGAGCTTGCAAGGGCTCTTCGTGGTTTACCGCAGTATCCGAGGCACAAGACAAGCTTATGAAACAACTCGAGAAATTAGAGACCGGGCAGCAAGAACTGAAGGATAAACTTCAAACCCTCGAATGCGAAATTGATAGGTTGGCAGGAGACTTGCCTACTGCATCATCAAGCTAGGAAAAGGCAGAGCTGTCCACTCAACACAGCCAGCTTGTTGACAGCATGAGAAACGCTTTATTGAATCAGGACAAAATAGAAAACCGGTCGCGTAGAAACAATCCTTTGTTTTTTGGTCTGCCTGATGGGGTTAAGGAAACGTGGATGAATCCGAAAAGAAAGTGATCGATTTGTGCGCAGAAAAGCTGCGTGTAACAGTGTCCCCCTCCGCAAGCGAGCGTGTCCACCGAATTGGCAAGGTCGGGGGCGAGAAACCTCGGCCAGTTATTGTGAAATTTGCGTTTTTCAAAGACAAACAAATAGTTATATCTGCTGCCTCAAAACTAAAGGGAACGAATTTTTCTATTGGTGAGGATTATTCCAAAATCGCTCGCCCGCAAAGGCAAAAGTTACTGCAATGCGGGAAGCGAACTGACGCAAAGGTTATGATCAAATACAACAGGGGCAGAATGGAGACCAAAATCGGAAGTAAATCTTTCGTGTACGACTGTGCAAGTGACTCAGTGAAAGAATGCGCTCAATAGCGGTAGGGAGCGCTATAGCGCCACGCAAAAAGCGACTTCCCGAGACCTTATCAGTGATTGTTGTCAATTGCCGAAGTTTAAAGAATAAGGTTTACGAGTTTGATACCCTGATTAGAATTTCACAACCCGATGTTGTTTTTGGAACTGAATCTTGGCTAGATGAACATATTTCAGATAACGAAGTTCTTCCAACAGGTTACACAGCCTACCGCAAAGACCGTAATACGCACGGTGGGGGTGTGTTCATTCTGATTCGAGATGGCATACCAACCATACCAATACAGGGCGCAGATAACAACTCCGAATCGGTTTGGTGTAGAATAACGTTTTTGCAAGAAAACGGTTTAGTTTTAGGGTCCTCTTATCGGCCTCCTGGTAACTCTAGTGTGTTACCTTTATTTAGTTTGTCTAAAACCGTTTCGGCTCTTTCCTCCGAACCAATTATGCTGGCGGGTGATTTTAACATGCCCAATGTCGAATGGTGCAATTTTCGTTCAGTTGAAAATAGTCGGTCAACACTTCATTCTGCCTTTTTCGAGTTTACCAGAGTTTATGACCTTTTTCAGTTTGTTCAGTTTCAAACACGACTGGGTTCGGCAAGTGATAGCGTCCTGGACCTTCTTTTTATGAATCGTGACAATTTAATGAAGTCGGTTGTTCTAATTCCAGGCATAAGTGACCACGATGTCGTTGCGGCTACCATAGAGTGGAAAAAGATAGAAATCAGTAGACCTCGTTCACGAAAAGTTTTCGCATATGATAGAGCCAGGTTTGATGCCATCAATTTTGAACTGGATGCATACCTTCTGATGTTTATCCAATGCTGTCAGTCTAGTGACATTGAAATATTGTGGGGGTTGTTTAAAGAAAAACTGTTGTCTCTGGTAAACATTTATGTCCCATCGAAAATTGTAACTGCCAATCGTCGTGATAAACCATGTTTTAATAAAGATATACGTGCGTCAATTAAGCGTAAGGCTCGGGTGTACAGAAATTATTGTCGCACGCGCAGTGCTGATTTATTTAGTAAGTTTAAAGCAATAGGCTCGTGCCTGAAGACACAGATAAAGCTGGCGAAGCGTGAATATTTATCGTCCCTTAATAGCAAAATCAAAACAAATCCAAAGGAAGTCTGGCGTTACGTTAAAAGTAACAAAAAAGACATCAGTGGAATTCCCTTTATCATGCACAATTACGAACTACTTAGAGATGATATGAGTAGAGCAGAATGCTTCAATGCGTATTTTCAATCCATTTTTTTTCCGCCAAGCCCGATATCTCCCGTTACGACACTCAGATCGTTACCCGCTATGAATGATATCATAATAACTGAATCAGGTATAAGAAAACATTTCAATAGGCTGAATCCCCAGTCTGCGCATGGTCCCGACGGTATTTCAAACCACATACTTAAACAATGTGCTGATAATATAGCTCCATTTCTCGCTGCTTTGTATGAAGTATCGATAAGGTATGAAAAATTGCCACGAGAGTGGAAGTTAGCCAATATCACGCCTTTGCACAAATCCGGTGTCCGTGATAATGTATTTAACTATAGACCGGTATCGCTAACCCCCGTTTGTTGCAAGACACTGGAACACATAATCTATTCTTGCCTTATAAAACACCTTCAAGATAATAATTTTTTCACTCCGTCTCACATGGCTTTCGCGCAGGCCTTTCGTGTGTTACACAGCTAACCAAATTCGTACATGACATCGCTTCATGATTCGACCAGGGCATTCAATTGGAGGCGGTTTTTTTGGACTTCAAAAAAGCTTTTGATGTCGTCCCCCACAGTCTTTTGCTTCATAAGTTGTCTTTTTTTGATATTCCTAAAACCCTCATAGACTGGATTAAGGATTATCTCAGCGGCCGCAAGCAATGTGTTGTGATAAATGGTGTGTCTTCATCAACAGCTGATGTACTGTCCGGGGTGCCACAGGGGTCGGTCCTGGGGCCGCTTCTGTTTTTGATTTTTATCAATGATTTTCCACTGGGTTTGAAATCAACAGTGAGGCTTTATGCTGATGATTGTGTTTTATATTGCCCAGTCAAGTGTTTTGATGACACCACAGTACTTCAGTCCGACCTCGATAAGATTGTGTCTTGGTGTGCTCAGTGACAAATGAGTTTGAACCTAACAAAATGTTTTCATGTGCAATTATTAACAAAAAAAGGTTGTATTCAGGTCTTATTACTTAAATTCCTGCGCAGTACAAAAGGTAGATCAAGTTAAGTATCTCGGCGTAACATTCATGGCAACACTAGATTGGACCAGTCACGTAGATCTAATCACAGCCAAGGCTTCGCGCTTAATTCATTTTTTTCAACGAAATTTCAGCGACGCGCCGCAAACACTCAAGGAAACCCTGTATATTACAAATGTGCGCCCAATTTTAGAGTATGCTTGTGTTTCTTGGGACCCTTTCACGAATGTACTAAAAGAAAAGTTGGAGAGGGTGCAAAAAAGGGCTGCTAGGTTTGTTACAGGAAACTACGATTTTAGAATAAGGTCTTCGGGAATTCTTCAGGCCTTGGGATGGGAACCCCTTTGTGGACGACGGAAAGTTTAAGGACCTAAATTTCTTTATAATACATATCACGGTAAGACTGGACTAAATAAAGAGCGGTATTTAAAGACGCCTAGTTATATGTCCAAACGGAAAGATCACTTATATAAAATTAGAGAATATACCTGTCGATTGAATGTCTTTAAATACTCTTTCTTTCCAAATTCTATTAGTGAGTGGAATGCGCTAAAAATACCAATATTGTCTGATTCTAATTTCCTAACAGCCATTGAAACAGCAGTTTGAGCTGCTGTAATAACCCATATATTTAACGTTTGCTTTGTACTTCTCTTGGTTGTTGATTTTTATAAGTATAATTTCTGCTTTCGTTGTATAATCCTGTGTTTTGTACTTTTGTTCTAACGCTGTACTACAAGTGTTGATTTCTCCTGTATACTGTAAGGCACGATTTATTTGCCTTTAATTTTGCTGTTTTGTATTCTATTTTCTACTGTAACCTCCCTACAACAATGCCCAATGCGCGAAGTAGGTACTTGTAATAAATAAATAAATAAATAAATAAATAAATAAATAAATAAAAAAGCACATTCCATGAAGGAGGTAAAAAAAATAAGCGCGCCGGCCACCACAATTGGGATTTATAATTTTACATATTTGTTAACACACCCAAATGAAGACATGACTTCCCCGAAAGGCCATGTTCTACAAGAAGTGAGTGCTCTTTTTGGGGATGTCCCACCTTCATTTGGTCATGTTACGAAAGTATGCGAAATCATAATTTGTTGCAGCAGGTGTGCTTTCTTTACCTGCTTCGTGCACTTTGCTTCAGTTCGGACCCAGAGTGGCTGGCACTGAAGAAGTTACGCCATGCCAAGCGTTCAGCGGCTCACATCACTGAGGCAAGCTGGAACTTGATGATGAGGCATGCCTGCAGTTTCATACTGAAGAAACCTGCTCGCATGACCTGGTAAGGACTCACTGGGCTGGGAAATGTTTACATTGCAGAAAGTGTACGCTATGTACTCAACAAAGACCCAACATTTAGCCAAGAACGTCTGTTGCTGGCTCACTAATTACAGGCATTGCCCCGACGAGCTGCGGCAAAAGTCGATGTCGCAGTTATGGACTATTGCTTACAAAAAATGTCTAAGCTCTAGCAAGAACAGGGGAAAAACCGTCTTCGTCAGGAGGATACGTTGGTGGGTGCTGTCATTCTTTAAGTGCAACAATTTGTGCCCATTTCAAGTGGATAAAAGTTGTGGCTTCGTAGTAATGGATATAGATTTGTGTAACTTAAAGCAAGACAAGCAGTCTACATGAACTTCGTCAAGTTAAAAGTCATCAAAACAAGAGTTTTGAAAAGCAAGGCAGTGGCTCTGAGTAAGGATTTGGAACTCGTACAACACACAACTATCAGAGTCCAGTGCATACTGCAGCTAGCAAAAAGAACACCCTTACTGTGTTTTTTACGGCCAAAACGCATAAGCTGGGTATTTCATTCAAGACAATAGTGAGTGATTGAGGGATCTGGCAGAAACTGATTAGTCAGTCTTTAATGAAGCGGCTAGACTTGTCATGAGAGACCCATTTTAAACTGGACATTTACCATGCATCATCCACTTTCTTCAAAGAATCCTTCGATAGGTACTTGTTCTTGGTAGATGTTGAGGACCCATTTTATTCGGTCCTGCACTGTTAATTGTTTTTCTACAAAGAAGTTGCACAGACGAGTGTAGTGTGGTTGTCTTCAGGAATGCTGTGGTCGTGGCATTATAATCATTCATGGCCCTTCTCAAGTTTATGTTAAAGGTACCTCGTATGTTCCTCCTGTGTTGTGCAATTTCTTATGCTTGACCGTAACCGTTTTATTACGTTTCATCAACATTTTAATTACTGGGAGATTTTGGAAGTTCCTACGTATTATGATAATTTTTGTAATACTTCAAAGCAACTAACCACTGTCACATATTAGCCAATTGTTAACAGTGTTCTAGCAGGCTTTCGCAGACTGAAAAAGGATTGCTGTTTACACGTGAGTTGAAGGTTTGTGGCTTTTTGCAGTTTTTGGCTTGGCGCAATACCTTACAGCGTCGTCCCGACTGTTGGCTTTTCTGTCTAGGTGTGCTGAAAAGTTGCTTCCATACAAGTTGATGCATCCCAAAACTGAAAAGGGACATAGCTGAACAATGCCCAGAGTATGTATGTACAGGGTCGTGCTCACACGTTATGCACAAGACTTATCAAAACCAGTAGAACAGGTTGTCTGTGGTTGGTTTCCTTCGCATGCTCCTTAACGCTGTAGCTGAGTTGCTCCACCAGACTACAAAGAGGGAACGCCACGGTACTGGGGTGGAGCAAGAGCGCAGAACAGCGATACCTGAGGTGTTACCGTGTATGCACCGAGCTGCACACGACCTAAATATGAATGCAAACGGGTATTGCATGCCATTTCTTTTTTCTGTGCCACGAAAATCATCTCAGCTTTCTCATGTATACTATCTGATGGAGGCAACAAAGGTGGGTACGGTAAGAGGCACGCCAATCGTACACAAAACGTGTCAACGAGGTCGTTTATGAATTTCCACTATCCCACGGCAAAAGATGAATGCTGGCTGGGCAAGAATATGCGTGAATGAGCATGCACAGTAACATGAGCTTTTGTTAAAAGATGATGGGGCGCATGCGCTGACGCTTTGCAATTTTGATAAGTGGGAGCCGTACCTGGATAAGGTTTGGATTATTGGCAGAAGCAGGGACATCGAGAATGCTAGGATGCATTCAGTATAAAATCACGAGGTTCATTAGGTACCAGTGATACTTTGTCTTTTGTCTTTCTGGTAGGTAGAGAACAAGTTCACAGATTGTGATTAGTTAGTATACTCTCAACGTGAGCTTAGTTTACTCCACACATATATGCCTATTATTTTCGATGCAGGATATGATGAATAAACTGTCAAAACTTTGAGCTCTCCTAGACACAATTTCTCCTTATTTTGTCAATAAAAACAGCCATATCTTTGTGGCTTCTACAAGAACGTGGACCAATTAGAATAGCAGAAAGTGCTTCTACCCCCACCTTTTCGTCCTAAAAATCCATAGAGACAAATTTGACATAAAAAAGGGACACAGTGTCTGGGTGATGCAGACCACGGAAACATGAGGCTATGAAAAATTACCGATATGCAATGACAAGGAGAATGAAGGCAGTGATTGTGCAAGCATTCAAAGCTAGAAAAAGGCTAGGAGTGGCCAGTGCCTTCTTTCGCATAAGCCATGAAATAACAAAAGCAACCACCGTCACCTCTGCCACCATCCGGAACGTAAGATCACTATCAAATGCTGCTTTCATTGTTCTTCTGCACAGGCTTACGGCATGCAGCTCCATAAAAGTAAAGTGAGGGCAAATAAGTGCTTCAATTTGGTAGTGTCCTAGCGCATACTCCAATCTGTTGCAGCAAAATTATAAAACATCACTGTTTTTTTACCTAATCGTTTCAAAAAAAAACTTTAATTGTGTCTAAAGACAACGTAACATTCTAGAGATCTTTGCTGGTGAATGGAAATTCTTCGTTAGATTAGAAACTTCGTAAGATGGTTTTGCTAGATAGAGTTTAATTATTTTATAATAATAAAAATACACATTGGGGAGCCATAAAAAATTTGTAAATGGGGGTTGGGTGCTGGAGCCGACGTTTTGACAAGTGTACTTGTCTTTTACAAAGCTGAACAAACTTTTGAGACATTTCGTTCAATACAAGAACCACATTACTTTATAATTGTGCCTATCCCATAAAATGAACTTATTTATAATATAGAGGAGCCGAGAAATGTAACTTGATGCTATTTAATATTGTGCACACGCACCAACGAGGACGAAAAGCTTGTATCGTGCACTGACTACTAAGCGGGGACAAATGTGCCAATCTCATAGTGAAAAAAACATCCCATCCTTTTGATTAAAAAATGACACGCAAGAAAACTAGTAATAAGACCCAAAATGACATTGTACTTCCTAAAGAATGAAAAGCTCTTCAAATTTCCATGTGATACTTGATTTAGCAAGACCGAACACATACATGTGCTTGAACGTATTGTATGACAGGGCAGAACTACACGGACACTAGAGAAGGGACAAATCGCTCTTGTGCCCGCATATTCGTGCACTGTGTCAAAATATGTTAGCGTACTGTCACAAACTGGTCCAACTTTCAGTCCTTCTGTGTGCATGTGTTTATTTGCGGACGTTTCATTATTACAGACATAGCTACCCATTATGATGCACCTTTTCTGCATAATTTTGATAGAATAGCTTTGTATATGTAGTAAACTGTTTTTCTTGCAGGCTCGTCTACTGACGCAACTAGCAGCCAAGAAGTTGGAGACGCCAAGAGCGCACAGAAAGGGTTTGAGCATTCGCACAAACCAGTATGACCACACGGGCACTTTTGATTGCAATCAGCCAGGGCGTATGCGCCGAACTCGATCCAGCACAGCAGCAACAGACCTGTCGATCTCGATCAAAAGTATTTGAGTGACACCTGTATAAGTCGCCGCTAACTGCCTAAACTAATCAGATCAAATACGGTGCAGGCGTCATCTAACTGCGATATAAAAGGGTACAACATAGCAAATGAGAACCCGTGTGACAACAGTGTAGTCAGTATAGTGTGTCAGACCCTAAATCTCTTTCGGACGTATGTCTGCACAAACATGATCACGCCTACGCGGGTGTAATTCAACGCTACGGCTCGTATGAATCAACTAACACTAACGTATCATCAAATGTAAAAGGAGCTAAATCTGTCAAACAAACCACCGCACATCACACACAAGAAAGGCAGCACTTGAGCGTATCATATCGACGCGGGATGTCGGTCATTCAACGCTACCGCTTGCACGAAACACTCACGGCGCTCGATCACCCTCCTTTGAAGGATCGCTCTGCCGAGAATCACTGCCACATCACCAGATTCGCAAGGAATAATACCGCAATCAATACACACGGCCAGTATGTGTTCTGTGACCACAGCACAACACCAAAATCAATCTTGACCGAACTAGAGGAAGCGCTGACAGTCGACGTCGGCGCACCACTAGGGACTAAAGCGCCTGGGGATGTTTGCGTGATTTGGGTGCCTATCGGCAGCGCGTGGTTGCCAGAAATACACCTAGGGCGCGGCCACTCGTATTAGTTTGCGCCATGAGTCACCGTGGCACTGCAGTCCCTGGCTGCAACGGTGCTAGAATGTAATGTCGCCACCGGGCTTACCGTGATAGAGGGATCAAAGTGCGCATGCGCATGCAGATTCATACGTTACCGGTGCCGCTTACCGTACGCTTTTTATTTTTCAGATTTAACGTTACCGTTTAAGAGTGGTGTACGTATATTGTACATAAACATGGTGGCATTTTCGGACGCCTGCTTCGAAGCAGTTTTTGACGCAGTTCTTAACAGATTCGTTCGCAGCGAACGACTGTTTAATATTACCTCGCTCGCCTTCAGTTAGCTTCGTTTACCGAGTATTACAGATAAGCTAGTTAACTAGAAGAACGAAGTAAATAAATCGGCAACATCAATGTTTTCACGTTTAGTGTGAGGTTCATATTTGTTTACTTTTATTATTGCTAAATTAAACATATAACAATGCTTAGCGTGGTGACACAGGCTAGGATTTTTGTTTCATTTTCCTTTTCACTCTTCTTTACCTTATGAACCCTCCGATAGGTGACGGCACCACACCAGCTGTAGCACGTAAACCACGCAAAGGCTACGCCATTAAACCATATTAGGACGCTGTCCGCAACGAACGCTTGCTGCATGGTAAGGCTATTCTCTTAGCCTCCGCTTTCACTCTAACGGTAAACTTCAACTGTGTATTGGCCGCACATTGTAGGAAAAAAAGGAAACATTATTCATCTTGCGCTGAGTTCTCACGTGTTAAACGCCGTTATAGACGCTACGCAATGCGTTCAAATTTCTTCACAATTCCCTTCGGGGATGGGGGCATTCTTTTTTTTTTCGCAATGAATGCGCAAAGTTCATGTAAGTGCATGGGATTCTATTGGGGTTGGGAGAGTCTGCAACCACTTTCTCCGCACTGTTCAAGTGGCAAGCCTAGCAGAGGCACCTCCATATCAACCCACGAGTCAGACACCTAACTAAAAAACGACATTAAAATTCATTTTACTACAGGCGCCCCAAGGACGCCACTGCAGATATACCTCCTCATTGAAATAGGAGGAAAAGCGCGTTCACGCAACTTTTTTTATAATGAACTAGGATATGGAGATATTATAGTTCACGATACCTTAATTCCGTCCCCATGACACCTTGTATACTGTCAAGTGCGTCCTGCGAGAAAGACGAAAGCGACAAAGCATACGCGTATCTGCACGTTTTTATACAGAACACAACAACAAGAAAGACAAGGAACTCTCTGGTGCATGGTAAATAAAAACACCGATCCCCTGCTGCTTTCTCAGCGTCCTCAAATACGACCTCTGTTTTAACGTCGCGGCACTGGTGGAGGTGCTGGGGCCTGCAATCTGATGCAGGAAAGCGTTGTTCGGGAGCGTATACCCAGTTCGCAGCCTCGACACCTTGTTATGATTCCGGTAGACCGATTCAGCCACCGCTTCTAGGCCTGAGTCCAGAACTTTTGACTGCACCTCCTCTTACCAACATGGCAGCCCCTTCAATGTCGGCGAATCTTCCTCCAGCCTAGCAGACGACTCTTCCTTACCAGGTAACTTTTGAGCCTCCTCGTGTTCCCGAAGTCTTTCGTGGAGAACCGTATGAAAACGTCGATGACTGGCTCGACCAGTTAGAGTGGACCACTACGGTGAATCGCTGGAGCGCGCAAGAGAAACTTGGCTGCACCTACTTCTTAATAGAAAACAGCACTCACACATAGTACGAGAACAGGGAGCCTACTTTTCAAATATAGGACGATTTGCGCCAAAAGCTTCTCGAGACATTTCTGAGTGCGGACCGACGAGATCTCGCACAACAGATGATTGAAGTCCGCGTGCAAAAGCCGAACGAAAGCGTCACCATGTTCGCTGAGGATATGGCCCGTCTATTTCACCACGCTGACCCTGACATGGCCGAGGCGAGGAAAGTTCGTTACCTGATGTGGGAAGTTAAGGAACCACTTTTCGCTGGCCTTGTACGAAATCCGCCTACAACAGTAGATGAATTTTTCAAAGAGGCGACTGTCATCGAGCGGGCGCTCCGGCAACGATGCCGCCACTTTGACCACCTGCCTGAGCAAATGCCTGTTGGTGCCGCCGCTCAAAACGCTGCTGTTGCCGAAAGCTCTCTACGGCAAATGATTAAACAAATCGCACGGGAAGAGCTCAGGGCCTTCGGCCTTCCATCTACCAAGCCTCGAGTTGCTTCTATTGCGCGAATCGTGCGCCACGAACTACGGCAAGCCTTTCCATCCCCAGCGCCGCTTCCTGAACCACGTTCATTGACCTATGCTTATGCCATCCACCGTCATTCATCTGCCCCAGAAGAAGCACCCTTGCAGCCACGGTTTGCTACTTTGCCTTGGTGGAAGCGGTAACCTGTGCGGTGACCACCAGTAAGCCGGACCGACTTGTGGCGCACTGCCGACCGTTGACCCCTTTGTTTCCACTGCGGCAAACCAGGCCACATCTCGCGCTACTGTTGTCATTGAGAAGCCCGCTTTGGAAACTTTTCTCGTCTCGCTTCATTTTCTGTTGAAGACCCTTGTGACCAGGGTGCTGATCACCTGCCGACCAACCAAGCGTCTTCACCAAGTCGTCGCTGGCGGCCTTCCTCACCTGCACGAGGTCACTCTTGCCCGAATCACCAAAGCTACGCTGACGCCGTCAGAAACCGCTCCCCAAGCGCGTGCTAGGGAAACTAACTGCCATGACCTTTGGGGGCAAGGTTGCCAATCGCCGAGACGCCAAAAAGGCCCCCTTGATTCTAAACAAGAATCACGTGGCGATGGTGATGACGAAGACGACGACAGCCACGAGTACTAATGCCAATGAATTTGAACGTGCCGACCTTAGCGTTATTATAGACTGACTTTACGCAACAGTACTGGTTGACACTGGTGCTGACTTCTCTAATATGTGACAAGAGCTTGCCGACTTCCGCAAGAAGGTAAAGACGCCGCGGAGTGGGCCGAGCATAAGAAGTGCTGGTGATAAGAAGAGCTAATGATGCCAACCAGTAAATGCACCGCTCGGCTCGTAATCGGTGATTAGAGCTTCACTGCCACTTTTGTCATTTTACCGGACTGTTGTAAATAGCTGACTTGGGGTATGAACTTTCTGCGAGAGTATGGTGCTGTCAACAACATTCCAGAACGTATCGTCACCTTTTCCGCCCATCCTTACGTCTACGCCACCACTGAAGAACAATTGCAACGTTTACGTGTAGCCGATAATGTGATGCTCCTGCCGACAATTTGCTGCCTTGTGTCGGTGCTATGTGAACGGCCGTGCCATAATTAGGTGGTAGCGGGGCGAATAGACACGCTATTGCTTACGCAAAGTGTTTCGATAGTGAGAGGCATTCTGGCACGAACTGATAGGCAGGCAGATGTCCTCCTCACCAACTTCAGCAACGAGCGCCGTCACATCCAGAAGGGCATCGCAATTGCCTACTACGACGACGTGGACCAAGCCAGAGATTGCTTCGCTTTGCAGCCGGACGACGCGACCGTCCCAGCCTCGACACCTTTGTCTGTCAAAATTTGCCCTGCCCAGTCACTTTCAGATAAACAGTGCCTTCTAGAGCTGATACACCAGTTCAAAAATTGTTTTTTGTGCACGTCGAATGTCAAGCGAACACCACTGTACCAGCACCAAATCGTCGTTGAAAAAATTACGAAAGCAAGTTCAGAAGATGCTCCAAGATGACGGAATACAGCCTTCCAAATGTCCCTGTGCATCACCTGTGTATTGGTTAAAAAGAAAGACGGCAGCTTGCGTTTCGGTAGAGATTAGCACAAGTTAAACCAAGTCAAGAAGAAAGACGTCTACTCACTGCCACGCATAGATGACTCTCTTGATCGGCTGCGGCATGCACGCTATTTCTCATCGATGGACCTGCAAAGTTGCTATTGGCGAATAGAGGTCGACGAGAGAGACCGTGAGAAAACTGCCTTCCTTACGCCCAACGGCCTTTATAAATTTAAAGTGCTTCCATTCGGATTATGCTCCGCGACAGCCACTTTTCAGCGTTTTATGGACACTGTGCTATCAGGACTGAAGTGGCAGACATGTTTGGTCGGTCTATACGACGTTATTGTCTTCTCAGCTACATTCGAGGAACACCTAAGTCGATTATTCGCAGTTCTACAAGATATACGTTCGGCTGGCCTGACTTTAAAACCAGAGATGTGCCATTTTGCCTTCAGCGAACTTTGCCTCTTAGGTCACGTGGTCAGCCGCGAAGGTGTTTGACCTGACCCGGGCCAAATAGACGCTGTCGCAAAGTTTCCCGCACAACTTAAAAAAAAAGAGCCGTGAGACGCTTCTTAGGCTTTTGCGCTTATTACCGACTATTCATCGGTAACTTTTCGTGTATTGCGATGCCTTTGACGCAGCTCACGCGAGAGGATGTCACCTTTTTTGGGGGCGAAAAG